AGGAGTTCCAGTCATGTCTCTGAACATATTTATCAGACACGAGAAGAAAAACAGAAAGGTATTTTAAGTAATATTTACGTATGATCCAAGATACAGAAAATTATTAACATTGTTACTAGTATACCAAAATTCTAAAGCTCCTTTCTTTAATAAATTATGGACGATAAAACTTGCTTTATATCATATTTATTCATAATTCTGTACAAACTTTTTCGTCTAATATCACTTTTAAGCAGATTCAAATCTGTTAATATTAAGTAAATTACAATAACCACCAATATTTTAGTGTCAAAAAATAACAAAAATCACATCTAACAATAAAGGATGCTGGAGTGAAAGAAAAAGAACTAGCAATAGAAGCAGGAAATACAGATAGTGATGACAAACCATTTATTACTGCTTACACAAACAAAATTTATAATGACTGATCAAAGTTTTAATTGCATTTGATGTTGGATAGCATCAATTACTATGGGGCAAACAAGATAATAAATGTGTGTATGTATGTATGTATGTATGTATGTATGTATGTGTGTGTGTGTGTGTGTGTGTGTACACATACATATATAAAAATGTTATAAAGTCAAATAATTTTCAAAATCATTCATTAAAAATAAAAAAAGGAGGCTAGTCATAGGTGCAAAAGGATATACATGCGTGTGTATCTGTATGCATACTAATAAAAGTGTGATCTTTATATGACAAACATCTTATAAGTATTTTGATAATGATGAAAATGAAAATGTAACCTATATTATTGTCTGGTTTTCCTTGTTTATATTTTAAACTATAATTGTCTAAAATTAAAAAAAGTTTTATGGTCACTAATGACAAAGAAAGAAAATTCTTTCAACTTTTTCGAATGGAAATCAAATGGTCTTGTTTCATTTGGCAAGATAATTCCATATCCATTCCAATCATGGTAGGTATTTAGGTTTAAAAACCCAGAGGTGGTAAGAAACTAAAGTTATTTCTCTTTGCCCCTAATTCCATATCCCAACTGCACATCGCCTTCACACCACTGAAAAATTAACCATGGTGATTTCTCTTGAAGCAAGACCTTCACACAACTTTTTCCCCATTATTCACTGAGGCTTCATCTACAACAAATCCAAGAAGTTTTGAATAAAGCTAACTTTCTGATATGCTCAGAGAAGCAAGGATCGATTCAATAGCTGACTTAATTCCTGCTGCATTTCCTTTCTGATATCTTTTAGGTAAAAAAAGGAGATTTTGACTCCAACATGCTTATCAGAATGTTTTGGGTCAAAATACAACTCAAAGACAACCTCTTTCTCTGTTACACTGCAGTATCCATCTACCAACATACTATAAAATTTTGCTCGTTTCAAATCCTTCCCCAGTTTGTCTGCTTGATATCTGCCATGAAAATTGACAAACTCGCCACACTGGATGTGATTAACATATACATCACCAATGTCAACACCAGGATATTTCTCTAATCTAATTACGTCTTCATATGCAGTGAAGGGCAACTCATGTTTTCTAACAAACTTTTATTTCAACTGTTCTTGTTGGGCTGAGCTTTACTGAATGTTTATATGTATTGCTGAATTGTTAGAACATTTTAAATTAGCATTCTGAACAAAGAAATATGTAATGAGGGAAGACACTGTAAATGGCAGCATAGGGACTGGGGCAGTTGGTTGTTTTGGATCAGGTACTAGTTTTTTGATAAATCTACTTGTTCTCCTGATTTAAACTAATCATTAGCATAGAGCTCGAAAGCTTGAAGGTGGCACTTCCTATTGGAATGATCTTTTGGATTGGATAACTTGTGAAGTTCTCAGTGCCAATAATCCAAGCATTTGAAAATTCTCTTAAAATGCAGATTTGTATTTCATACTTTCAACATAACTTGCAATACAACCTTTCTGCATGTCCACTCTTGTCACTATCATAGCCTAACCAAATGCTACCATTTTCTTTTGCATGGTCCTCATTAATCCATTTTTGAATTGTCACCAACTTTAGTACACATTTTTTCTTTAGAATGAAATCCTGGGCTGAGCTTTACTGAATGTTTATATGTATTGCTGAATTGTTAGAACATTTTAAATTAGCATTCTGAACAAAGAAATATGTAATGAGGGAAGACACTGTAAATGGCAGCATAGGGACTGGGGCAGAAATAAACAACTTCGTACCAGGTCTTTCTCACAAGTTCCATCAAGGCCATCTAGCTTGAGTTTCATCAATCATTTGAGAATTTTATCAGTGTTGCTTGGGAACTTTTCACTGCTGATTATACTGTACCTGTTTGATTTTGTTTTCAAATACAACTGGTCAAAATCACTGGCCGAATATTTTGAAACAACACTGAAAATTGAAATATTGACCAAAGGTACCTTACCATACAGAATGTCCAGTACTGACACAATTGTTCTGGACAAACACCAGCCACTTATTTTCACTTGTAATAAGACTGAACACTTAAAATCAATTATTTTAGGTTCCTGCAAGACAAGATGCCATATTAACTTTCTCTATTATAAGACTATCATAAAAGATCTGATGATGTATTAAATAATATTAAAAGCTTCTCCTCCAAAGTAGTTGTATTAACCCTATCACAAAGGGCTCGATCTAAAATAATGAGTTCCTATACACATTTGCACACGTTAAGTATTTATACTATAACTTTTAATGCAATATGAGTATCTTTACAAAATTTGGTAGACTTTCATTAAACATTGCAAGTCTTTCGTACACAAAAAATAAGATTTTTTAAACGAAGTATATTTACTAAAAATTTGTTTGTGAATATATAAAGTCCATTTTGTTACTAGTCCAAATGCAAAGTGATTTTCATGTTATGATTTAAAAAAATCTCAAATATCATTTGTGTAATCTCTAAAATCTCCTAAATACATTTCAAACATTTGTTTACAGTAAAACTTTACATTTTATCTGATATTTTCTCCAGCCTAACTCTATACGGGGTCTGTCAATTCGACCGTCCTCATAACCACCAAAAAAAATCAAAATAAATCTAAATTACGTTTTTTTCTTACTTTCTAGAATGACTTCAAACTGCAACATGAAATTAGATTCTTTTATCCTAAGTAGTTTTAAACTCGTAACATTTATTTACACTTAAATTTTATTGTTTTATTGCTCTTTCATTGCCCTTTGAATCATCAACTACTACTAGTCATGTCTATACAAGTTGTAAATCACTTGGAAAACGTGGGACTCACGCTACACTATTAAATTACATTACCCACAAGCCGCTCAGAGTCCGAGCTGCTCGCGTGCATGCCTCGTAAAACATTTTTATTATATTGCTATCATTATTTATTTTACCTAATCTAACCATAACTAACCTAAACAGATCCTTAATGTTATATTTTAATTACTTTTATAATAATAAATAAAGAATACACATGAAAAACAAGACATAAAGTACTTATCCAGTCTTCTATTTTCTTTTTGCTGTCGACTGTCGATGACACTTAACTGTACTTTCTTTATGGTACTTTTTTATTTAATTAAATAATGCACCAAAGACCATAGAATAATAACATGCAAAAAGCATACAATTTCCCCTAACTATTACAATTTGTCTGGCTTTCTAACTATGTGACAAAAACCATTACAAATTCATCCAAGCTAGTCATTTTCTTTCCCGTGGGAACAAAGCTTGTACTAACTGAGAATTCTCTGTTCAGAAAACAATGTAATATAATACATCATTTGATAGATAAAAACCTTGACTTTCTACTGGTATTAAGCATAAGAGAGGACTATTAACAAATCCTGAAAGAGAGGGGTGTGGCAAGATGGGTCTGATTTTCCATTTGATGGTTCAGTAACCGAACACGATTGAAAGCTCTAAAAAATATGGTTTGTCCTTATAGTGAGAAATTTATGTTCAATTTTATGATTATTGGAGGGGTTGTGAATAAAATAAAGAGGGAATGCCTAGAAAAAATGTGCAATATTTCTCACACTAGGGGAAATTCAGAACTTTTTAAATATTGCCTCATAAAATTAAGAACTTAAAACTTATATAGTATTAAAATATGGATTATTAGCTATGATTTTATGCTATACTAATTGGTATAACATAAACAAAAAGTAGTTTAATTATATTTTGAAAATAACTCGCTAAAAGATCATGATGTGCAGTTAGACCCACCCATTGCGAAAGGGTTAACAACCTTTTAGATGTTCAGACATTCCATTAACTTACTCTATTAGCCTCTCCTAGAGGATCAGGATGACCTTCCTCAGCAAGTCGTCTCTTTAATTCTTCAATCTCTTCTCTCTCTTTGTGACGATCCCTATCATCAGCTTCAAGTTCTTTTTCATGCTCCTTTAACCTTCTTGCAAGAGCATTTCCCCTGGTAATAACAAGTATTTGTCATCTGTATAAAAACTAAGTATTTCACATTACAGGACAAAAAGTGTACCATAACACATTGAAATTATAAATAACTAATATTATAAAAGTAGATATAAAAGGCTCATTCTGATGGTGTCTTTTAAGCACCACTTAAGTAAACATTGCAACAGATTCTTTTATTAGAGAACTTTGTTCAAGAATATCAATAAAACAAAATTCAAATATTCTTAACAAATGGGTGCTTCACACTCCTGCAGCTGTTTAAAGACTAGAGAATTGTTAAAATACAAAACTGCTGAAAAATTTGCAAAAATATTTGGTAGAGCTAACACTAACTGTACAGATATCATCAATATACAGTGACACAAAAATTGGAAAATACAAAAAAAAGAAAGATGAATACCATTTCTCCAACTGTACCGACTGCAGTATTAATCATAAAGTTCCAAATTACTTATCTTAACAGTTTCAACTGTTAACCTTTTTCACATTAATTTTTTTAAATTTTACAGTTTCGTTGCTGTACCTTGCACCACTGGAGCACCAAAGGCAATACAACACAGTGGAAGACCATCAGTTGATTCCCATAGAGCTAACATAAACACCATGTGATCTAGTGTTATATTTCATACAAGCTTTTGAGCTAGTGTAATTTTAGATGTTATATTTTACTGACATTTTGTTAAGTTAGGCTCAGACATTTTAATTACTTTCACTATAAATAAATAAAAATAAGCATTTTTAGTATTCTTTGTGTATTCAAGCTGTTTGCATTTGAGTAAAAACATTTGATGTTCTCCCTTAAGCCTGCCTTGTTAAGGGTATGATTCAACCAGCTCTAGTAATAATCTCTGACTTAAGAAGTCAATAATACAGTTAAATTTCCCCTCTGACTAGTAGCCTGATTTGTTTAGGAACAAAGGGTGGGTGGATTTTTCAAAAGCCATCTTCTAATGAAAACTTGGTGTATTGTGACCAATGAAATTCAGTTCTAGGTCAAACCACACAAAGGCATTTCCATAATTGGTCAGTCAAAAATCACTTTCATAGAGTAATGTGACATTAATAATTGTGCATTAAAAAAAAAGACAAATCTTGGATTATGAGCTGTCCTCTTTATCTGAAAGAAAAGCTATAAAATATATCTAACTCAAAATACTTTATACACTTTCTCTACAAGGGAAACCAGTTTGGTGTTGACATTTTCTCGTGCGATGACACCTAAACAAGGTCATATATTAGTTTTCTAAAGGTTGGCATTATCATTGCTCCTAGGTTGTCCTGACATTTTGCATAAAATAAATAAATCAACTGAAGAGATGGTGGTTTAATTTGACATGAATTGCATATCATGTAGCATACTAGTACAACAGATCACAAGATCATGTATCCTGAGGCAAGTTAGAGCTACATTGTCCATGTCAAAAAAAAGCATATCTTTATTTCTTTATGATTGCAATCTGAGTTTATTTAACAATTTTCTGACATTTTACAGAATACTGGCACATCCTCTGAAACCTTTGAGATATCCACATAAAAACACTGATAGTTGGTTTCAGTTTGACTGCCAATTTACTCATCACAATACTTGTGCAGCTATAAAAAAGTAAATAATTATCAAAGTCAAACTGAATTATCAGTGTTTTCAAGTAGACACCAAGTAATGCTAAACATGACTTTACCACAAACTTTGAATATATGGATTATCTGTGGAAATGCAAGTTGACCCTCAATATTATACAATTAAAGTATATTGAAGAAACTCAGCCATTTCAGCAAGTTAGTTACTCCACTAACCCTGCAATACTGTAAAGTCCACCAGTTACACGACCCTCCAGGTTACACACAACCGGCCATTAGTTCATACATTAGGGCTGGCTATTATTGAATTAGTGGTTGGCTAGAGTACAGTGTAAGTAGGTGCTTGCCATTTAAAAAACAAGTTCTCCCATGCACATTCTTAATATACACTGATTATTTATATTTACTACTTCAGTGTATGCTATAGAAATTGGAGGATACATCAAAATATGCCATTCATATTTATGTCTTACTGTGAAATGGCACAACATAAACTCAATTTATTAACTACTCATCAATAAAGAATTTTCTTAAGATTATCTATTCTACAACAACCCCTGTTTCTTTCTGTATTTTTGTAACTAAACAACTCACTGAGCATTTGATGTGTTTTATTCTCCACATTTGATGTTTTTGAAAATACTGACATAAAAATAATACATGCATGCTATATGATGTGTTACATACTGATCTTGTTTCCAAGTGGATTTGGAAGGTATTATATATCGTACTTGAGGTCAGTGCAGCTGTTGTGTTTATGCTCCCTGGTGTCATCTCTCCCCAACCTTTTGTGTGACATCAACATTCAAGAATGCTTTAGGTAGAACATTGTACCATCAAAGCAGGTGCAGTGGTCCCTGACTTACACATTGATCTACATATGAAGTTTTGATCTTCAGTCTTCCTGTTAACTCTCTCAACACAGGCTCGGTCAATCTGACTAACCATGAAACCTCTTTGTACTCGTTTAGTCTTTATAGATTTAATACTTCTAACTTTAAATATAATGTGTATGTCTTCACAAAACTTGACAGTCTTTCAGTTAATACTATAAGTCTTTCACATACAAAAATAATCATATTTTTGGGTGAAGTATTTTTAATAAAATAAAATAAAGATTTGTCTATGAATATATTGAGTATTTGTTTTAAATAGTCTGTGTGCAAAGTAATTTTCATGTTAAAATTAAAAATACTTTTCCTCATCTCAAAAATCTTAAAATTCCTTTGTGTAATCCCTAAAACATCCTAAATACATTTCAAACGTTATTTTTCAGTAAAACTTTATAGTTTATCTGTTATTTTCTCTACCCTATCTCAAAACGGGATCAGTCAACTCTACTGACCTCGTAACCACCAAAGAAAAAAAAATATTGAAATATACCAAAATTGCCCTTTTTCTATTTCTAGAATGACTTCAAATTGTAAACATGAAACTACATTTGTTTATCCTAAGTAGCTCTAATTTTTCAACAGGATACATTTATTTATATTTGCCCTTTGAACCATGTCTAACTACTATCTGTGCCATTATAGATTGTAAATCACTCCGGAAACATGCAGCTCACGTTACGTAAACAAATTACATTACCCACGAGCTGCTCACGTGTGTGCCTTGTGAAACATTTTTACTATAATATTATTATTATTATTTATTTTACCTAATCTAATCTTAACAAACCTAAAAGGATCCCTATTTTTACATTTTAGTTACTTTTATAATTAGACAAAGAATAAACATGAAAAAAAAAAATTACTTAACCAACCTTCTTTTTTCTTGCTGTTGGTTTTCAAAGAGAGTTAACCCAAATTTTTTATATTAATGATAGTAATGCACTTAATTTTTATTTAATTAAATAATGCACCATAGAATATAGACTAATAACATGCAAAAAGTAAACAAATTCACTTATCTCTCAAAATTTTTCTGGCTTTGTAATTATGCAACAAGAGCCATTACAAATTCATCCAAGATAGTCGTTAAATTTTCCACAGGAACAATGTTTGTACTCTGAATGAAATTCACATCTAACCATTCAGAGCATAATGTTATACAATACGTCATTTAATTGATGAAAACCTTGACTTTCTATTGGTTATAGGTAATATATAATGAAACATAAGAGAGAACTATCAACAAATTCTGAAAGAGAGGATATGACAGGTGGATGAGGCAGGAGGGATTTGATTTTCTATTCAATAACTCTGTAACCAAACAAAATTGAAGACCATAAAAATTATGGTTTGTCTGAGCAATAACGATTTTATAGAGTAATTTACGTTTAATTTTGTACTTTTTTGAAGGGTAGTAGATAAAATAGGGATGATGACATGCTTAGAGAAAATGTGTCACGTGGGTCACACTAGCGGAAATTCAGTATTTGTTTAAATATTGCCTTGTAGAATTAAGAAACTTGTATACTATTAAAATATGGATTATTAGCTCAAATTTTATGCTATTCTAATTGGTATAACATAAACAAAAAATAGTTTAATAAACTTTTGAATATATATATATAATATATATATATATATTTTATATATAATATATTATATAAAATATACCCGTGGTGATAGGGTTAAAACAATCACTGACAATATTGACTTTACTTCTAACAAATGTTCCTGTTAACTTTTACTGTCAGGAGAGCCAAAACCTTTTCTAAATCTTAGAAGAAAAAGATTACTTTTACAATTTCTGAAAATGGCCAAAAACAAATTGATATTCCACTTCTAAACCTCATAACTATGAATTATTACTTGATGTTGGCAAATGTCACAAAATTCCAATGTATCATCATAAAGGTACAATTTTAAAAAGTTGTAAAGGATGAAAATTCACTTTTTGACATGAGATTAATTGACTCATAAAAACTAAATCTTTCCCACCCATGCAGCTTGCTTCACCTCCTTACTGAGTAATTGCCTTACAAATAAAATGCTTAGGAGTAATAAAAAGTTTCCCCTTAAGCAAAATTGAAGATAATCTACCACTTCAACCAATGATGATGCTGAAAAACACACATGACTAGTGGTAACATAAAGATAACTTATACTTCCAACTGGGTCAAATGGGAAAGTAAAAATATGCCAACAAAGCATTCAAGCAATAGAGAAGATTTGGGAACATACACAAAAATGCTGGAAGTGCACACCACAAAGTTTTTTAAAGACAGATGTTCATTCACACTACAGACTAATGTAAATCATTCAAGGCACATTACACAGTATTGGTGTTCTTTGGACTATAGAAAAAAAAAAGTCAGCAGTAAAACTTATGATACAAATGTCAGTATTCTCAGCCGAATAAGCTTATTGTTCTAAGCCCAATAAAACTTGTGCATTACTTGACATTCTTAGCCCAAAACACAAAAAAAGTGATATTTAAACCAGCTTACTTGTAATATTTAGGGTCATCTCTATCATCATCATAGTCTTCCAAGAACTCTTTTAGCCTTTTAGCTTCTTTGTACTAGAAGAGAATAAATAAACATTCATAACATTAAGCTTGTAGTTTTAAAAGCTATGATGCAACATTGCAAAATACTCTGAGAATACTTAAAAAAATTATACTGTGAGAACCTTGCTGGCACTATACTAAAAGTGTATTAACCTTTTAATTACATACATTGATTTTCTCTTAGTTTCCATTAATAAAAAACATTGTTTGGATTCTAGCTGTCAGTTGAACTGAAGTATACATCATAATTCCTGTATGTCATTCCAAATTTCTATCCACTTTTTTTATTAATGAAATATCTACCTCTTCTTTTCTTCTTTCATCTTCTTTTTGTTTCTCTTTCTCATATTCTTTTAGCTTTCTTCTCTCTCTGCTTTCCCAATTTCTCAGTCGCTGTATTAAAGTAAATGAATTAAGAATACTATTTACATTACACAGAAGTTGAGTATGTTATACTAAAACAATTTTAGAGATCCACTACATCATTACAGTCTGTGTCTACCATACTATTTGACAGCTGGGCATCTTGACAATAGCCCAGTAGCAGAGTTTCTATTGTCAAATATTCTGTCATAAGACTTATGTCCAAAATACATCACTTCTACCTGCAAGCTTTCAATAATCCATCTAGTGTATGGGGTTGGTAGTTTCCCAGCTCCCTTTGAAACAGCTTCTCATAGAAATCCACAGGCACCATATCTGACAACTTAATTAGTTTGTCTTCATATGAAATAGATGGATACCAATTTTATTCTCTAACTGCTTAGGTATGTCATAGTTAAATTGCAGGTGTGAATGGAAGCTTTATCTCTGTGAACCATTACCCTGCTGCCTCATTTTGGGACAGTATCCTTTTTTCTTCATGTTGCATACTGTTGACTGGCACACTTGAGTGGTTTTTGACACTTATGTTTATGTTCATGTATTGTCAACTGTTATAAGACACTGCACTTTGTTTACCACAATTGCCATATGACATATGTCAGGCTTCTTTCTGAATGGTACTGGTGCCCCAAGTAAATATATATTCCTTTGTTTCCCAATGTCATTTAGTACAAGTGATATACCAGTCTTTAAAAGTCTAAAGCCCCTGATCTGAATACATCTTTATGATCTAAGTGTATGAATATCTTGCTCTGGAAAAAGCCATTAAACACAAAAACAAATATATTTTCCATGGTATCACGTTACATCCAAGATTTAGTTCTGATACATGCTACGTAACTTTGACTTAACCCATTAACTGTGGCAGGAGCAGCTCAGTTGCCGTTTTCTGACTCACGGATAAAACTGAGTTGCCATCAATCACAATAAAACAGTAATTTTCGTCATTCGCATAGAGTTATAGTTATATATGTGTGACTGATGGATATTTCCGTCATTCGCAGCTGAGCCATAGAACTTCAATGACGGAAATATCCATCATTCACAGTTAATAGGTTAATTTGAAAGTGGTTGTCCCCTGACATATTTATTCAAAATTGTTTAAATAAAACATATTCAATTTTCTGTGTTGTCATAAACTTTTATATTAACAGAAATTACTCCTTATTTAGAAATCTCTAAAATTAGTAAACACTGTTTAAAGCTATCAAAACAAATTCTATAACCATATTAACCATTTCTGGCCCAGTTATCTCGTTTTAAAATATACAAGCAAGATGACAACATCATGTTCTGAAAAACGGTCTTATCATTCCCCTAAAAACTACCAACAAAATAAAATATAACTGAAATGTTACACTTTATTTCTTTTTCAATTGCTTTATTAACATTTGTTTTAGATAGAGTAATTTTTATAAAATTAAAACTGTTAACCCTAATTTAGTATTATGTGCAATATACATTGTGGTGTAAATTAATCTTTAATATTTAATACCTAAAGAAACAGTGCATATGCTTCTTATTCTTAAATTAATTATTTTCACATCTAATTGTGCATAGAACTCATGTTTTTATTGGTCGATTTAATTAAATAACAACATAATTTTCAATAACTAGAAACCAACTGTACTCTCTGTGTTTGCTAAAAAACAAAAACATTCATCATATTTACTCATTTCAACTTAAAGCAATTTCTAAAACTAGTCATTAAGCTTTAAGCTTCAACTTCACCACAAATTCAGCTACAACAGTACATTTTAGTCTTGAATACAATAGTACAATATTAGAAAAATATCTTATCAGTGGTTTGAAAATTAAGCACAATGGGTTGCAACTTAAAAATTACAAGCACGTTGTGGATAAGGAAGAAACTTAAAATATTATGTAGGAAATAACAACACTGGTGTCTGCAAACTCCTCTTTTATTATATTAAATAATCAAGTTGCCACTGTGTTGTAAATGTAAATTTCCTATCCTATCAGTGAAAACACAGTGCCATTCATATTCCTTGAAATATAGAGAGCTCGGAATGGTTTTATAACTGTTTGAGAAATTATACTTATCACAAAATGAAAAATTCAATTGACTTTTACCTGCTTCAAAATATGTTCATCAGCAGAATAAAAACTTTCCAACTTTACATAAAATTTTACAAAAGGAATAAAAAAGTCCTGTTGACAAGCTTTTAGCATATTTTATTTGCAGACTTTGTCAGAATAATTACTAATATTGCATAATGTAATTTTATTATTAATTGGCTTAAAAATAATGAATAGTAAATACTTAAGTCTCATCATGAGTTTTTAGATACACAAAAGAAGTAATATTTATGTTTGATAAAAAGAACCTCTTGATAAGCAGCTTCCTTTTCTCTCAGTTTACGTTCCAATTTCCTTCGTTCATGCAAATCTTCATCCTCTTCTTTATCTCTCTGCCAGTCTCGATCCCTATCTTTTGACCTAAAACACACAAAGCATTGCAAACAAAGAATTAATATCATTCAACATTTCTTACTGTTATTTTGATAATTCAAGTGGCATACTACAAAGTACAGCATAGACTCATATTATCTTAACCATTTCACAGTAGGACTGTGCAATTTGTGGAAATCAAGTTATGAATTTCACTTGTACATCAATACATGCAGTAATTTCTTAATGTATCCATTCAAGAACTGGGAAGATTTTGTTAAAGATCATAAGTATCTTGTACACAAAGAATGACAGATTTATAATTAAGTGTTATTATTAAAAATATGATATATTTCTATTGTAGTTACTTGCATTCAAACAATTAACAAATTGAGTGCAAGGTGATTTCCATTTTAAGTATACAAATTATTTTCTTTCTCTTATAGTTTTAATATTTCATTTGCATAATCTCTAGAACCTCCCAAAAGGATATCAAAAGTTTTTTATATTATATTTTTCATTTTCTCTACCAAAGCACTAACTAGCTATTATCATCAGCATACAATGCAATGAAATAATTAAAATTAGGAAACTGAAAAAAATATCTGTAAAATATCTTTAAACAGTTTCCTTTTGTTAAAATCGTAATTTCATCTCTTCGTTTTCATATATAATTAATTTTAAATATTATATTTTTCCTTTCTTGTTCTTTACTGCTTATTATTCATTTCAACACAAGTCAACGGTGCCCTTGAGGCATATTACACTTTCTTTGCGAGACATGCACAACCCTTCTGCAAAATTTTCGTTCAGCATGTAATATCGTAAGCCTTGAGAATGGACAAGTAGTATGATGTATATTTTTAAAATGTTTAAACCTTTTTATTATGCATTTTAAAACATAACTAATACATAATTAACTAAAACATGATTGTAAGACATAAATACAATTTAAACTGTATCTCTAGCTATAACATATTTAGGTAAGAAACGACCATAGGTGCTATAGTTGATCAAGCAGCCAACAATACTAGAGTCAATTACATGTAATCCATAAAGACAACTGTGCACCAATTTCAAAATAACCATTGTTGGATTAAAATGTAAAACGATCTCTTTCCAATGAATATACACGTGTATGTAGCATCTACATGGAAGGGATAAAGCTCAAATAAATCTGATGAAAGTAGGCATGGCACCTGTTAGGGGTTGAAAAACTTTATTACTCGTTTCAACTGTATTCATTCAGGGAACGTTGAAATTAATGAGCCAAAAGGTTATGTAAGCAACTAATTGTCTAGATGTACCTCTACTCAACTACCATTGTATTATTGAAGATACAGAGAGCTAAAGTAGAGAATTTTCATAGTTGGTCACGTGACAATATATCTGAAGTTAAGTAGTTTTTCAAAGGTTTATTTTAAAATAAAGGATTTAAAACTTGGATAAAATAAAACTTTGAATCAGAACATACGTTATAACATTAATTTAATTCACATACACTGATAGTAAAGGTGTTTAATTAAAGTTTGAATGTAACAGTAATGTGCACAGAAAAGCATTTAAAGGGCTCCCATTGCAAAAGGGTTAATCAACTTGAATAATGGTGCAAAGAATCAATTTAGTACTGTTATTCATCTCTCAAACATTTTTACATAAAAAAATTAATTTATTTGCACTTAAAACAAGCACTTGACTTGAAATTGTAGGATGTTTACATGTTTTTTTTGACATACACAAACACTTCAGGGCTTCACACATTCAAATTAAAATACACTAAACAACCTTAAACTTTGAACAATCACACATACCTTTCCCTGGATCTCTCTCTTTCCTTGGACCAGTCTCTCTCCTTTTCACGAGAGAGGGAACGAGATCTGTCAATCATCCTCTCTCGAGGATGGTCGGCGGGAGAGTTATCTCTTAGATTCTCCCTTTCTCTCATTCTGTCACGTTCTCTGTCTTTTGAACGTTCCATACTTTTTTCTCTTTCTCTCCTTTCTCTTCGCTCCCTCACCTTATCCCGCTCTCTAAGTTCACGATCTCTATCCCTATCTTTTCTATCTCTCTCACGACGTTCCTTTTCTTTCTCATTTTCTTCCTCTGCTTTCTGAAAAACAGGAAAAGATAACATTTACATTAGGTAAGCAATAATGGTTCATTTCATAAAATGGTATGTTTGGATAACTAGCTTATATGCAACATACTTCATTGCAAGAGCTTAGTTATATCTATGTCCAAACTCTGCATTTCTGATATTTCACTGTCATTAGTAAGTAAAATAAATAAATAAAACTGCAAAATTCAATTATCTTTCTAAGTAACCTTTATGATCATCTGAAAACACTGTCAACTCACTGTCACCATCCCTTTATCATAAACTGAAAGACAAAAGTACATATTCTGTCTAAAAATAGATTACTCCATGACCAAAAATAATATAATACAACAATGATAGAAGCAACTACTGATTACAACTCTGCTAACAGACACAGGCCTAAGGTTCTTCTGGTAAAAGAATAAAATGGATGTAAGGCTTAAACACAATATCTTTACTACTCATATATGTATATTTAATGACCAAAAACTTGAGTTATAAACTACAAGTCACACGCCCTAGAAATATTAAGAAAAGACATACTCTGATATCTGCCTTAAAATGCTCTGAAAGAAAATTATATTTTACCCTTAGGCTGAATGAGATAGTTTGGTTGAAGCGATAAGCAAATACCTAACAATTAACCAATACTTTTTACTTTCAGATTTTCATGATAATTATAGGTGCTTACATTATTCATATATTTATACCCTAACATTTCCAGTATCCTTCTTTAGGCCAGACACACATAATAATGTACCTGTGTGAGATGTTTTCTTCTAATGGAAGTTTGAATTTCAGTTCAATGTAACAAATTACTAACACACAATGTTCTACATATTACAAACAGTGACCTTCTTACCTAGTTGTAGACCCCTTGTGTTTGTAGACCTTGCAGAAGTTTCTATCCTTTTGATAAAAATGGCTCTAGTACACTTAGAAAAAAATAACTTCAAATGTCTATAGCAGTATAAATGTATTCAATGTAAGAAGTCAGGCCATACTTTTCTCATTCTAAAGTTATGTGACTACAGGTGTCTAAAAAAGAAACAGCTTTTTCTTTTTCATTCAAGCACACTTATAGACACCATTCATGATAAATCTATTGCCACAAGTTAATGTAACACACATACACACACACACACATACATACAATACTACTATTTTGAAATAAGAATGTATCATTAATAAAAAGCAACAATGTAAACTTTTTTTCAATCAGAATCAAAATCTAAGACAAATTTCAAGATAAATGTCACACTGAAACTGTTTGTGAATTCTGTTAGCATTAAGGTAGAGAAGCCTGACAGACAAGTCAGTTCAAGTTGCTACAATAGCATCTCTTCTTGGAATGGTAAATTTTAAAAAAAATATTATATAAATGCAGAAACATGAGGTATTTTTGAAAATCACCTTTTCATTACTAGAAAACAAAACCAAAAAACTTACAATCATTCTTGTACAGTGTAAGGTAAGCAGCAACTGACATACTAAAAATGGTGCGAGTAATTACATGAACTAGATAAAATGTTTCTTTTTAAACCTGCAGCCATTCAATCATTGTTAAACACAAATAACTCAATGCAAAAAGGGATTCTCCAATTTGAAATCTCAAATTGCTATTTCAATAGAGTCCTTTGAGACATGGCCATATATATGCATAATGAACTGGAAATTCTCAGTTTCTCTTATATTACAGTTTACAAAAAACTGTTTTTCATATTTCTTGTTGATAAATGAAAGCCAAAGTTTGATATGATGATAATCCTTACCAAGTATTTTACCTGAAGGTAGAGCTGGGTGACTTGTGGTTTCAGCTTATTGATTAATCAACAAGTTCATTAATTAATACACCATGCATACACATACACAAATGAGTATGTGATTACCATCATAGCTTTTTCAACCACTGCATTATTCTAATGTGATGTTAATTTTCCTATTTTCTTTTGCATAGTTTTGTTTTTTATGTAATTTTTGAATTCTCCTATGATTGGCTTCTTCTGAAGATGGCCATTTGTGTATATTTGCAAAAAACACTTTTTTGCCCCAAAAAATATTTTCCCACACGTTTATTGGTATTTCTCACTTGGCAAATAAATCACTACTGTCAACTAAATACCACCATGCAATCACCATTATTTGTTTTTCAAATGTGCAATAATTTCAATGATTTTCTTAAAATCAAATAAACTGATAAATAATGAAAGCATGTTTTAATCTCATGATAAGGCTAATAATACCTCACGATAAGGGTAATAATGTTTAACTGGCTACTTTATTATTGTAACTGTAATCATGATATGTTTTAAATAAAAACAATTCAATTTATTTATGTACATTGCTTGAATAAGATACACATCAAAACAATATTCAATAAAGACATGAGTCACCACAATACTTTACAATCACCTACCACACTGATTAAACAGCAAACTTATCTAATATGATGATGATTTTATTTGGTGAACAAAATGAAAAAACAACTCATGTTTAAAAACATTGTAACTCAATAAAATCATATTATATCTATAAAAAAAATAAAAACACCTTAATTTTAAAGAATGTTGCATGAACAAAATATCTTTGATAAGCCTTAAGTAATCTCCAGTCATGTGATTCATTTGATTTGTACTGTATATATATTCCTGTGTCTTTAGTAAACTACTTGTACTGATGATGACAAAACCTTCTCCAAATATTGTACATTTGTTACTGTGTTTAACTATTAAGAAAGTTTTCTTTGTTACCCACTGAAACAATCTCTAAACCGTACAAGCTAACCTACATTATCTCAAGTTACCCGATTCTTCTCATTGAAGACAATTACTGTAGTTTTCAAACAAATATAATTTAACACACAAATAGTTTTATGATACATAAAGAAATGTTTACAGATACTATAAAAAACCCCTTTTAAACCTATATAATCACTATTAATACATGGTAGTCTAATTTTTGTTCAATTCAATCATAATTAAACTTCTTTTATAACTGCTTTCAAAGCTGTTTTATTAGTAAATGTATAAAGGCCTGTATAAAAATTAAAAACACTGAAAAATCAAAAAATGGATAATGTGTTTTCAAGGAGTGACTGGTTCTTAGTAAAACTAAGGTCATTCTTTGGGAAGGGCAAAGAAATTATAAAAACAAAAATCAACAAGTTGGATATTTTGTTTATAGACAAACTCTTTGCAGCTGGGCAGAAATGAAAATATTAACTTTTTTCTTCAATAATTACACTAAATAAGTATCAGAATACAACAAAATATTGATTCTAAAATATTTAAGTTAAAATTGTTTAAATACTTAAAAAAATTATGGCTCTAGCACATGAAAAGCTAGAGGAAATCCTGTTTTCAGGTACAATAAAATAGGAGTAAATTATTTTGTTCATCCTAAACTGTTGCACATGAAAATGTATCATACACACAAAGTAGTACTAAATCTGTAACAAAATAAAAATAAGAGGATTTATAGCATTTTGTGGGTTTTTCCCTATATGGCTACTTTATTGAAACTACTGAATTTTTTTGGGGCGAAAATAAACATTACTTTGTGACATTTTCAAACAAAATATTTAAAGAATGAATAGTCTAGGATACAGGCCTACATCATGTGTAAGTTAACTGAATGCTTTCAGTGTTGGAAATAACATTTTCCAAAACTCATACAAATGTCAATACAATATTTGATGAACAATACTGATGTTCATTAAAATAAAATAAAAGACACGTCAAAGCTTTCTAGATGGAGTACTTATGTTAAACATTTTTGAAGCATGTAATTAATGCAGTTTTAAATTATGGTAAACCTTTTAAGAGGTCCACACTTTGAGAAACTGTTACAAACAAGGGTTATCCAGGTTGTTGTGTGTGTTACGGGGGCTCCAACTAGACCTCTAAAATCACTAGTGATAAATTTATAGTAGTTTTGTGTTGTTGTTTTTACTTAGAACTGCACACTACTTAAATGTTAATAACAACTCAATTAGAAAGCCTACAAAATTGTTATGAGTAGCTCAATTAGGTTATGATCCAGCAATGTCAAAGCTTGTAATTTAATTTAATTAGTTAGAATCACATTTATGTAAAAAAAAAAAAAAGATAAAGTTACACCTAAATCCATATATTAGCATTCATAAACAAGATGGCTATTTTCAATTTTGTAAATTGTCACTTACATTTTGTAGCAAGTATATGTATGTTACACAACCTGAAAAGTCTCAAGCAATATTAACTTTGAGGAAAATTAATCTCTAAAAAGCTAAGGCACAAAAATTTTCCATGGAAACATTTAATTGATGATCATATTATCCTATTTGTTTAGAAATAATCAGTTATTGGCTGAAGCCGTAACTAGATTGATGTACACTCCAACTGTGCTGACTTCAGACAGACTGAAAAATTTAGGCAGCAGTTGAAAATTAGTGACAGTGGCAGATAGCCTAGGTAGCTTTGCAGCAACAAAGACAGGATGAGTAAATTTACCCATTGTGTAGCTTTGTGCTTATAACATAATTTGATTACTTGGATATTTGGAATAATCAAAAAACAGTAACTAATTTAAAACCCTAAATTCAACTAGTTGATTATTTTTGTGGCAATCGATTTAATTATAATTTTGATTAATTGATTAGTTTATGTAATTGCTGCTCTTAGTAATCTGTTAAATCACCCAGCTCTACCTGAAGGTCTGAGTTATTCTATTTTTGTATAAACCACGTTGCAGTTCTCCAATAACAATAAAATCTAATATAGTACACTAAGTCAATGGAAACAAAATAACAATGTTATGTATATTGTTATTTTTAACATACACACAACACATTCCACATTCAAATCTAATATACAATTAGTCAGAGCAAAAAGGCAAAATTTGCCTTTGGTTATAACTAACAAGTATTTACCACTAATATATATTAATCATAAGCTGATAAATTTCAAAAACTTAGTGTAATATAAACATTTACAACTAATAAAACAAAAAGGCATTTTTTTCAATGGTTGTTC